GTACTCTCCAATGGTGTTGGAGCACAGGGTGACCTGGTACAAGAGAAAAGAAGTGTAGCAAGGATTTACTCACTCCCAAAATCTCATCACTCATGGCTGCTGTCCTCCAATTCTTCTTCCATGGTAGACAAAGGGAGGATTTTGCTCTAATTCTTCTGCTGGTCCATAAGTAGAGCACAGTCTTTGGGAGTAAAAAAAGCTCTCTGGCAAGATCAGATTTGCTAAAGGGAGTAATTTTTCACCTGACTACAATGACATAAATGCAGAAGAAGCCTGTTGTCTTGAATGGACTGAGTCCAGCTTTACAGCAGGAATACAGCAGTGAATACAATTCATCTGTACAGTGAATACAACTCATCTGCTGCCCAGGAGATGAGAAAGGAGACCAGGAAAAAAAAGAAAACTGCTTTCTACAATGGTATCTCTCTCTTTAATGCAACCTTGTTTTCATCCTTCCTCTGCCCACTTGCAATCAAAGAAATCTCTCTCAAAAAGCACAAGAATGGCTTCAGTACTTGACCATATGGTATGTGATCTCACCTTATGATTTTGGAAACAACACGGTGCTCCTTGAGGAACATCCCGAGGAAGCCAGCCAGCAGAGGCCTCTCCCCAGTGCAGATCTCTCACTCACACAGGGCTCCAAGTGCTCAAAGCTGGCACCAGAGCTAAAGCCCTCCCACACTCCAGGGAAACTTCAGCCCCACCCACTGGACTCTTCCCATACCTTGATATCCTGGGCTCCCAGGGCACGGATGCTCCCCCTGCAGGGGCTTATGGTAAATTCCCTTGGCCTTGTAGGACTTTGGGCTTCCTTCCTCCAAACCTGGCTACTGGGATTGAGTATGTTCACAGAGACGTCAATGCTGGGCTCTCCCAAGCCATCCCCAGGAATGCGGAGGTTGAAGACCATGGGTATCAGGGAGGTGTTAGACAGACGACACTTCAAGGTGCGAGGAAAACCTAAGAAAATGACACAAATATCCACTTAGCCATCAATATTGCATGATTCCTGATGTGAATATCCTGGTGGGAGAAAACTGTGCTTGGATTTTGCTTCTTTGTTATCTGAACTACAGCTCATTGCAGTGGATCTATGGCTTGGCCGGCCAGCTCTGTGTGAAGGAGACATCTCCCACAGCCTGCTTACCAAGAGTCATTTAAACCCACATGACGAGGAAAAACCAAGTGCAGGCACAGCCCAGGGCTTCTCCATGTCCATCAGCAGAGATCACTGTCAGCTCCTGCAGTGACTCCAGCAGGGAGGCAAGAGAGGCACGAAAAGGACAAGTGGCACAAAACAGGCACGAGGGAGGCACAAAAAGGATGGCACAATCTCAAATGCCACTGAGGTGACCACGTGCAGACAACATTCAGCAGGGCAGTTAAAAGAAACAAAGATAAAACAGCTGCCCCCAGCTGAAGAAACCTTAGGAATAAAACCNTCAATGCTGGGCTCTCCCAAGCCATCCCCAGGAATGCGGAGGTTGAAGACCATGGGTATCAGGGAGGTGTTAGACAGACGACACTTCAAGGTGCGAGGAAAACCTAAGAAAATGACACAAATATCCACTTAGCCATCAATATTGCATGATTCCTGATGTGAATATCCTGGTGGGAGAAAACTGTGCTTGGATTTTGCTTCTTTGTTATCTGAACTACAGCTCATTGCAGTGGATCTATGGCTTGGCCGGCCAGCTCTGTGTGAAGGAGACATCTCCCACAGCCTGCTTACCAAGAGTCATTTAAACCCACATGACGAGGAAAAACCAAGTGCAGGCACAGCCCAGGGCTTCTCCATGTCCATCAGCAGAGATCACTGTCAGCTCCTGCAGTGACTCCAGCAGGGAGGCAAGAGAGGCACGAAAAGGACAAGTGGCACAAAACAGGCACGAGGGAGGCACAAAAAGGATGGCACAATCTCAAATGCCACTGAGGTGACCACGTGCAGACAACATTCAGCAGGGCAGTTAAAAGAAACAAAGATAAAACAGCTGCCCCCAGCTGAAGAAACCTTAGGAATAAAACCTGATTAATCAGGATGAATCTGCTCTTACAGAACCACATTCCTGCCTGGTGCCTTTCTTTATTGTGCCACTTATTCAAAGGGAGACAAGAAGTGGCCGAACAGTGATGCTGACTTTTTATTCCTTTGGTCTTGTTTGCTCTCACGATGGCAAAAGGGTACCTGAGGCACCAGCAGCCCTGGAAGTAACACCCTGAAGAGGCTGTGCTGGAGAAACACGAGTGATGAATGCTCTTATGTCCAAGTGCTCCATTTCAGCACCACACCAAGCTCTGACACTGTGCTGCGAGCCCAGGGCACACTCACCACAGGAGATGTCACCGAAGTGCAGGGCGGGCACATCAAAATGGAAAGTCGGTCCCATCACGGAGCCCCTGCGAGGACAAAGGCAGGGAGGCAGTGCCTCTGTTAAAGGGAATCACAAAGGCTTCTCGTGCCCTTAGGGAGGGGCTGGCTAATAGCTGCTGGCAGAGCCACCCTGGGTTTCAGATCAACCCAGCACCCTGCGCTCAGCACAGAACCCATGTGGACAGGAGGCAGCCAAAGTGGGCACAGCAGCTGACAGACTATCTGGGAAGGCCTTGGAGCTGAAGTGAGTTTTACTTCTCCTATCATCACATTTCTTCTTTTTTTCCCACCTCTAGCCTTTGCTGAGTGAGGATTTTATCCCTTGCCATGGGATGATGCCCCTGTCCTTGGCACAGTTCCCTGTCTCCCACATCAGCCCTTTCCTGGCTGTGGAAAGGAGCTCCCAGGGCACTCTCTGCACAGGAGCTGAGAGCACGGCTTGTGCCCCACAGCATGGCTGTGAGAGGTGAGGTGAGGCTGCTGCTGCTGCCCATCTGGGATGGATTATTAACACAAGTTTTTACAAACACTGCTGCTGGTGCAGAATCACCCAGGCTGGCCCATCTCCGAAGCCCTGGGGGCCTTGCTGGCTGTTCAGGGGGACATCCCAGAGCAGCTACTGCCCAGAGCTGATCCATCCCGCTGCCTGCCACAGCCTAAGCAGCAGACACCCCTGCAGGGAGGAGTCACTCCATCTCCTGGCTACCCACACAGGGCAGCAGGCACGCCCACACTAAAGGATGTCAGAGCCAAGACTAAGACCTCAGGCAACACCTTTTTTCTCTGCTCCCCCACAAAATGAAGTAGATGGAAGGGGATTACCAAGACACAGCTACAGATGAGACCAGCAAGCTCCCAAAGCCCTCCTCACCTGATAGTCAAGGTCACAGGCTTAGGGGATTTATGCACGTAGAAGCAGAATTCTTCCTTAAACTGCCCCAGCATGGTGGGACAGAAGGAGATTTGGATGACCTGGAGCCCGTGCGGTGCCACGATGCCCTCCTGGGGCAGGAAGCTGAAAAAGGAGCCCATGGCTGTGCTTGGAGGGATGAGGCTGAAGGAAGCATCAATGGGCCCTTTGTTCAACAGGACCGCCTGGAGCAGTAGAAAAGCAAAGTGGAAATACATGAGGAATCTTCCTTTCTTACCCCAGTCTGAGTCACTTCCAAATTAAACCGTTAACACCTGTAAAAGGCAGGAGATCCCCTGTGCTGCTGCATGGCAGAAGCCAAAAAATACAATTTTGTATGGCTTTGGGGTTTTCATGCAAAGCAGTGATAACTTCACATAACCAGAGTCACTCTGGGGTTTTCCCACTGGCACTGACAGTCCACTCTGACCAGCAGCACAGAGCTGCTCAGCATCACCAAGTTCAGTCACAGCTGGCCCTCAGAGCAGCACTGGGCATGGCAGCATTCCCAGTGACATCAGCACAGAGCTGCTGCTGCTGCTGCTGCTCCAAGTGTGCCCAGCCCCACCACGGGCAGGGCACCTTCAGCTTCCATTGCAGCCCAACCTGTTCACTGCAGGTGGGAGAAACCAGAAGCAAAGATGTAGAAAGTTCTTTGCTTCCTTCCCAGAAACACTTTGCTCTTTCTAGAGCCAGAGGTACACCATGGCTGAAGTGTGGTGAGGGACTGCTCAGCAAAGGAAAGCACTGCCAAGCACTTTGACCAGTGCTGAGCCAGGCAGGTGGATTCGTGACTCCCACCAAGAGGCAGGAGGGACATGACTGAAAACTGTTTGCAATGCACTTGAACTCAAATGCAGCCAGTTTGTTCCAGCTGCTTTTGGACAGCCTGAGCACAGAGGTGATTTGTGGCTGGGACTGGAACACGCAGCTTTTTGTCCCAGTGTTGCTTTCATGTGTCAGGCGGTTTTGCAGGAAGCCTTCCAGCTGACCTCCAAGGTAGACTGCCCAAAAGAAGGGATTGGGCTTTCACGAACAACAGACACACCTTTCTGACCCCATCCAAAAGATCGAGATTCCAAGAAACCCCCCCACATTTGACCAGGATCACAACTACCCAAGTTGCCAGGAATTGACAGGTCCACACTGTGGACCTGTGAATTCACTGCTACCCCAGGAGCCACCAGGATCCACCTCAAGGCTGCTGCTCACCTTATATCTGTGGGTTACTCTGATAGAAACCTCCCCAATGTTCAGTTCCTCAAAGTAGGAGTGGAGCCGGGGCCCGAGGCCTTCCCCTGTGAGGAACAGGGGCAGCCTGTTCTCACGGCCTGGGGAGAGATTTCTATTTCAATACAGTAATTCCTTCTGTAATCCTGCATTTTCCAGGCTGCCTCAGTGCTAGTCCCTGTCTCTGAGCTGCATGGGACCAGCTCCTGATGTCCCAGGAGAAGATCCAGACCCTTCTCTTTCCTCAGGAAATAAGGTACATCCACAGACTCCATCTATTCTTCCCCCCCCCCTCTATTGAGAGTGAAACTTTAGGAAATGCCAGAAATTTTCTGCTTCCTCCTTCTGGGTGCACCTCAGAGAGTGTTTTTCCCAAGGGAGGAGGAGCACACTAAATACAGGCAGCATTCAGAACAGCTGAGAGGGAAAAAATCAGAATAGAGGAGATGCCCTGGAAGCTGCAGGGACAGTGGGCATGTGCCAGCACTGCCCTGCTGCCCACGGACCCTTGGCAGCAATGACACAGGAGCCCAGTGATCTGGGGGAGTATTTGCACCTCGCCTTCCCTGCGCTGAGAGAGGCAGCGGAAGGCGCTGTACCTGAGATGTCGCAGTAAACCGCTCGCTCATAGGCACGGGCTTCCTGGGGCTTGAAGGACACGCTGATCTCAGCCCAAAAATTCGGCCTGATCTCGCCCTCCTAAAGCAGAAGGAGATAGCAAAACATTTCTCTTCAGACCTCACATTTCTTGGTTTCAACCACAGTCCTGTAAGGCATTCTTTAGAGCATCAGCGACAGGCAAGGAGTGAGTAACTCTCATCAATAACACTGAGAACAGAGTTTGGAAGCTTTAGTCAGGCTCCTGCTGCCTGCCAGGAGCCCACAGGGCAGAAACGCTTTTTGCAACCAGCTCTCTGACCTCTCCAGAATGCAGATTACTTCTCTCTTGGCACACCAAGTCAGCTGAGGCAGGGATCAGTCAAGTGACCTTATTCAGGGACGAGGAGGAAGAGGAGGAAGAGAAGAAGGGAGCTTCTCAGCCATCCCTTACCTTTGGCTCAAGGGAGAAAATGCCATCAGAGAGCACCATGGGATCTTCTCTGACCTCTGCCATCTCATTCTGGAGGCTGTGGGTGTGAAGAGCAAAGCGTTCTCCGTGAGTACTGTCCACTCCCTACTCCTTCAGAAAATCATACAACTTCTCCTTTTGCTGCTGATACTGCCTGTGATACTGCCTGCAGCCACAGGAAAGACAAACCCAGCAAGTTGTTTAACAAGCCATGGCTTTGCAGAGAGAAGTGGAAGTGCCACGAGCAGCTCCTCAGCAAAGGGCTGACCCTGAGCCATGGGGTCCCAAATGGATCAGAGGGTCACTTGTTGTTCAGTCCACACTTGCAGGCTCAGGAGAGGTTTCCAAAGGCAGCAGCCCTCAAGAGAACCTCCTGGCTCAAAGCCTCTGTCACAGCTGAGGAAGAATCCACCAGCAACCTCAGGCAGCTTTTCCTGACACACAGCTGCTTGGGGGAGGCAGGTGGAGATGGGATGCTTTACTTACCCTAAGCCATTCAAAAGCACCCTGCATCCTCCTGAAATCTCCTGAGGCTGTATGCTATTTTACCCTTGGGCAATGGATGTCACTGAAATGGATCTTTCAAACCTACCTCAGCTCCAGCTGATCCTCCTCTTGCCCACTGTCAACAGCCTTCCACTGGAAGCAGACTGTGATGTCACTCATATTGTGGATGCGCACAGCTGTGTGGTTTGACAGGCTGACGTACGTCTTCTCAAAGCTCACAGTGTACTGGTCCAGCCTGATGTGGGCATCCACAGCTCTTCCATGAAGGCTTGTGTGGGTGTCTTCACCTGGAACAAAGCAAAGGGCAGTCTTTGCTCAGCTCGCTGGTTGATGGAAGCACAAGGAACACAGCGAACCACAGGTAATAGAAAAAACTGTCACAGCTTTTAGCTGAGTGAGCAGCTCCATGGATCAGTACATTTATCACAAGCTGAGAGCTGCATCTGCAGAGCAGGAGGATGTCCTGAACAGCCTGCCAGCATTTCACCCTCTAGAACAGACCCCTACCAAAGGCTTCCTCGTTTCCAGAGCTTTCAAACCTTCATTATTCCCAACCAACTCCTGGGATTCATCTGAGCTCAGACTTCAAGCTCATCATTCCTGTTGCAGGTGAGTAGCCGAGTGTTTCCCAGGCCAGATGTAAACAACAA